ACAGGATTTCTGAGGAGCACCTGGTAGGTTTGAACTGCCGAACTTGTGGTTCGCAGTCCAATACCGATCCTATAGCACCATACCAGGAGTCCTGTGGTAGGTATATTTTAAAAATATGTAAACTTTCATAAAACCCTTAGAACCCACTAATATCAAATCTATTCTGAATCATAGCAACGTTGTAGGACACAGTAGAACTCCTTGTGGTTTTGAAGACTGAAATCTTTATGGGAGTAGACTGCCCCATCTCTCCCCCACAGACAGCTGGTGGGATTATTTGATGACAAATTTCACACACTATAATATGGGAGATAAAATTAAAAAAAAAAGAGAGAACGTCTCCACTACCTCCATCTCTGCCATTTTTTCCTCTAAGAAGTTGTTGTTGCTAAGTGCTGTTGAAGTTGGTTCCGACTCATTGCAAACCTGTATAGTGTTTCCAAGGTGTGGTTGGTGAGCTTGGACCACTGAACTTGCAGTTCAAACTGACCTTACAGTCCAGCGCATTACCACAGCACCACACAAGGACTCCTAAAAGGTAATCATTACCAAAGGCCTGAAATAGAGCTCTCTAGACTTTTTTCTAGGCAAATAAATTTAAGTGTAATTTTTAAATATGTTTTGATATTCTGTTTCCTATCTTGATATTTGGAGTCCTAGTAAGGTGCTGTAGGTTAATGTGTTGGACTGCAAAGTCAGTTTGAACTGCAAAGTCGGTGGTTCAAGCTCACCAGTCACTCCTTGGAAATCCTGTACAGGGTTGCTATGAGTTGGAACTGACTCAATGGCACTGAAGAACAACATCAACAACAATCTTGATATTTAGTTTTCAACTCAGTAGTCATATTTTGAACTACAACATCTTTTTTTCTACCCAGATCACATAAAGAACAATCTTAAATATGACAATATTTGTGAAATAATAGTGAAAGTTCTCATAGCAGGGAAGAACAAACCGTAGTTTTATGGACCAAAGTTTTCTTCATATTTCTGTCTTGGAAGATTATTGTGTTTTACCTTAAATGGAGTTGTCTGAATCTAAATTAGATTAATAAAATGTATCATTGGGATATCAATTTGTAAATGATAAGATGCCAATAGATATATCAAGGCATATGAAAGATTGTTGTTGTTGTTGTTAAGTACCATTGAGTTGGTTCTGAACCATAGCAACCCTGTGAAGGGTTTCCAAGGAATAACTGGTACGGTGCGATTGAACTGCTGAGTTTGTGGTTCAAAACAACTTTACAATACAGCACATTAACCCATAGCGCCACACATCATCACTAAATCAATCTGAATTTAAAATATATAAACTTAAAATATTTTGAATGTTTTCCTATCTATAACTCAATATTATACAACATAAGTACAATATTGTTACTGAATCCATTTAAATATAATCACTCCAATCAATGAGATTGCTTATTTTACTAACTGGTAGCTTAATGGTTACGAATCCGGCTGAGAACTACAAGGTTAGGCTGTTCCGCAGAAGAAAGATGAGGCTTTCTGCTCCTGTGAAGATTTACAGCCTCGGAAACCCTGTACAGGGTCACTATGATACGGAACCGATTCCACCGCACATAACCAACCAACCAAATGAGCATATAGGGAGCTCTAGTAGTTTAGTGGTTACAAGTTGGGCTGCTAATCTCAAAGCCATTCAAAACTACCAGCTGTTCTGAAGGAGAATGATGAGGCTTTCTGCTCCTGCAAAGATTTGGGTTGCTGTGAGTCAGCATCGACTCCATAGCACATAACCACCACCATGAGCACATGAAAATAAACATTCTGTTTTTCTCAATTTCAAACATGCAGATGTTTTAAAGAACATCCTAAAGGATAAATACCATAATTACTTTCTGCTATAGCAAAGCATTTAGTAGGTTCTCAATAAATGCAGGTGGAATAAGTGTAAGCAATCAAACATATACTCTTACTATATAAATTATACAATTATGACACATATCAAATGGAAACAGATTCATTTCAATACTCTCTTTCTTTTTTTTAAATTCATAACTTTCTAGCTCTAAGTGAGGCTGGCCCTTAAGCAGGCGAAATATGAGGACACTTGCTGAATATGTTAGCCATGAAGGCCCCCTTAAAAATGTAAAACTCTCACAGGGATTTCATCAGAGCAGTGAAGATTAAGATAGGGTGGGTGGCTTTTTATAGTACTGGTTACAAAGAAGCAGACTGAAAAAATCAAGGAGAAAATAATCCAGAGTTTTGGTCTTGCTGAAAGTAGATAACAAACTACCACTAAAAAGGTAGCATGTAGATTTCGGGTACCAGGGAGAAAAGTAGAGTTTGGAGAAAAGGGTCCAATGGCTCATAATATGGTTTTACATAAATGGAATCAAGATGTTAAAGAAAAAAGATGGGTATTTGAGAACAAAGCATTCTCCAACTCAGAATGAGGAGGGAAAAAAAATCATCTGAAAAGTCATCTGGTTAAAGAGGATGAAACTCGTGTTTGAAAGGGAATGAAGGTGCGTGAGTGTGTGTGTGAGGGGTGCTGCTGAGAAGTGAAAACAGAAAGGCTGAGAAGACACTGAGATCTGTACATACAGTGGTACAGCGAGAAAAAGGCCTCCTTTGTTTATTTGTAACAAAGCAAATGTGTGTGCCTATAATATAACATACACACATACTCTAGGATCTATATAGACTTTACCATAAAGAAATAAATATGTTCTTGTTGCCAGAGACATGGAAACTGTGTACAGAGTAGAATTATTCCAAAAGGGCCGTCAGACAGACTCCAAGACCTGCCTTCTAAGATATCTCTGGGTGGGTTTGATCTTTTCTGCTAATAGCTGAATGCTTAACCAAATGCACTACCCAGGGACTCCTATATATAAATCAACATTTGTAGGTGAATATATAGTACTTAAATAATAAAAGGGATGATAAAAATTGGAACCACACCCTCACACCAAATTATTTGAAGCCACAGTGGCACAGCTAGGCTGTCGTATTATTAATAAGTCATATGTAAGATCAGTAACTCAAGAGGATTTTGTAGAATACAGAATAAACCTAGGACTCATTAACATAATGAGAGAGAGGTATTTTCTACTTATAAACTATTCTGACCCAACACTACGCAAAATATTTCAAATTAAATGCAATTGTATACATTTTAACAAATACTTTTCTTTAAAATGTCTTTCGAATTTTAGCCCTCCTTCCCCATAAATATAACATGCAATTTAAAATAGTATCATAGAATAAGATTAGATAAATATAGACTGTAACAATCTCACAGAAGTGTATCGATATTACTAGGTCTGACTATGGTTGAATCCTGAATTTGGAAATAAGTCTCCTGACAGTTTAGGCAAAAAGAGGTAGACATTGGTTAAATTCTATTTATTCAAGTATCAGATTCTCTTTTTAAGTGCTTAGTGCCACTGAGTCTATTCAGACTCACAGAGACCCTATATAGAGTTTCCCAGACTGCAAATCTTCATAGAAGCAGACAGTCTTTCTTTCAAGTAGGAAGGGTATAAATAATAAATATGCAAGCTTAATTTATTTTATGAATTTGAATTACTCCCTCCAGAGATTTAAATTAGCAATGAGGATTCATAAAATGATTCTATGTATTTCCCTGTATTTACTGTTTGGCAAAAAAAAAAAAAGACTGAAAATACATTTGCATATGCAAACTTTCCTTTAAATAAATTCCAGGAGGAATAGCTCTCATCTATTCTTTTGTAAGGAATGGCAGTGACTTAAGGGACAGTCTTTGTCCATAGTTTATTAGATATTGTTGTTGTTAAGTGCTGTCGAGTCTATTCCGACTCACAGCGACCCTGTACAGGGTTTCTGAGGCTGTAAATCTTTACCGGAGCAGAAAGCCTCATCCTTCGCCCGCGGAACAGCTGGTAGTTTTGAATGGCTGACCTTAAGGTTTGCAGCCCAATACCTAACCACTACACTACCAGAGCTCCTTAGATATTAGTCTGTGAAAATTCACCAAAATATTACTTCAGGGGCAATGTAAGGGCAATAACTGCTATTACCCAACCTCATAAACATAGGGAGAAATCCTTATGCAAACCATTTGAGTATTCATATGTATGTTTGCCTGCTCACATAATAAAACAATATATTTTGCCTGCCTTCTAAGATAACTACCAATCACCTGTTTCCAATCGCCGCTTTTATCTCTCCTATCTAAAGCGGTTTCCTTTTTCATTTTTAAGAGTCAAGCTTATTTATTTAGCATCAATCACTAACAATAAAAGAAGATTAAGCTCTGAAATAATAGACCTACAAGTATACTGTAAATAACTGTCCTTAAACACAAGAGTTCCTTAGTTGGGAAACTATTCCTTAAGGGCCATATGCTTATGAGCCAATCAAGTCAGTGTTGGGGAAACAGTAGAATAAATTAGAATGAACATACTTTTCATGTGGGTAAAATTGATAAATTCACCAAAAAATCTAATAGTTTTAGGAGGGGACATTACTAACAAAATAAAACATAGGGGACATTTGAATGATAAATCGGTATATATTTAGCCACATAGTTAAACTGAAGTCAACCACACAGATATTATTAAGGACACATTACATTGTTAATTTCTAATGCATTTGTGCTAAAGCTAAGTTCTTAACTTATATAGACAGTGGCAAAGACAGCCAACTACCAGCTGTCTATATACTGCAGGAATGACAAGATGAGGAAACAAGCAACCAAATCAGACAGGGGAAAGTGACAAGTTTCATTTTCTAAATAACCAATATATCTCTGCAAGTTTCTCAGCAGATGACTTGCTCAAGTCCACATGGAGTTAAAAAAAATGAGAGTACACTTTGGTTACAACAGGAAACTGGGTAGAAAATAGAGAATGAAAGGGTCACCACGTAGCTTTAATATCACACCTAACTCTTCTTGAACCTTGTCAGTAATTACTAAATACTCAAGAATTACGTCAATCTGAGAAGGGAAAAGACAAGAGGCATGAGAGAAAACACGTTACCAAACTGTCTCTGTAGTCCTGAGGGAACTTGTAGACCGGGATCTCGGCTTCATAATAATGCTCATTTTTGGAAGGGACTAGGGGAGAAGCAGTCTCCAAGTATCCTGATTAATATATTACAGCTGTCTTTCGACAAAGAAGTTCTTGAATATATTCCATTTCCAAGGGAGGCTGCTTGAAGAAATCCAAATTTCCTGAAGTCCACCTCCTGCCCCAAGTCCAGCTCATAGGAAAGGCTCTAAGACGCAGAAGCGCTGTTCTCTTTCACACGGAATTCACTCCAGCTCAACGCTGTTAGGAAGTGACAGTTTCTTTTCTGTCTGGTATTGCCAACGGAGGAACTGGATTTTGAATCTATTCTTCATCTAGGTCACAAGGGAAAACAGCCCAGCGAAAGAGCCACTTGATCTCCTTTTTGCAATTCAGTAATAAGAGGTTTAAAGGTTCGCCACATTCTAAAAGTACTCAGGTAGAGATCAACGCAGAGAAATTGAGCTAGAGGTACGTGTAGGGAAGTTCCATTTCAGGGCGACCACAAGAAAACACTCTTGTCCGTGGAGAAAAGAAATCAGCCAGGGAGCAAAGCTTTCCACACTTCGGTTGCGTTGACTGCTTTACCTGCAAATGTAATTTCCGTTTTCGTTCTATGCTTAAAATCTGACTGAGAAGCCTTTGTGAATGAGAACTATCATTCAATCTCGCCAGGCAGAAACTATTCCTCAAGGGCTGAATGACGTCTGTAGGAGCGCAGTTCAAAAGGCTCGCAGGGAAGTGAAAGAGGGGAGAGAAAAAAAAAAAAAACAACAACCACAGCGCCAGCCAGGCCTCCTCAGTTGTTGAAATGTACAAACCTAAGGGGCAGTTGAATGCCCCAGCAGGACTGTAAACCAGCAAAGCTGACAGTACACCTCTCAAAACTTAAAAAACGATTTCCTTCTAGGGAAATGAGGTTCCTTGTTATTCAGAGGAAGATTCCTGTGATCACTTGTATCAAGAACCAACCTCTTGCCATTTGAGTTGTTTGTTTACCAAAAAGAAAAGAAAGGAAAAAGAAAAAGTCACTTTCTCTAAGTACTACACTGAAAACTACAAATTCCTCTTCAGAAGCAAAGTTGAGAGGACTTGAGGAATTGGCAGCTGTTCATTTTGAACAGATTTAATGAAGTGTCAAGCTTGGGGGCTGTTTTATCAATAAGCACACTGCCTTGTCAAAAGTCAACAGAATGTAACCTGCATCATATTGCATCAGTTTGTACTGGAATGTTTAAACTAAAACAAAACAAAACAAAACAAAAAATCTAATGTATTATTGCGGGACAAGTGGCTACTTGCACTGAGGCTGATACCTTGCACAACTTTTTCTAAACCTTATTTCTTTTCTGGAAATGATATGTAAATTTCATTGATTGCTGTACTTTGGAGTTTGCAAATTCCTGATAACTCCTTCAGTAAGGAATGCAGTTACAGTATCATCTCTTACTAATTTTGAATACCCATCCCTGTCTTGTAGTATACAAATTATTCTTTTACGATAGAAATACTGGAAATTGATTAGAATTGTACCTAAGAGGAGTAAAAGTTGTACAGACGGTATATATTCTTCTGGGTGTGCCAACTACATTTAGGGTATGAATTTTCAAGTGAAAATAATTTAAGTGTTTTGACTCTTTAAGTGACATTGGTTAGTTCGTTAGTTCAGTAGTCTGATGTGAACTTGGTATTTATTTAGCATTTGCAGACAGGATGTTGGAGTGCAATTGTGACCCACCCAAACAACTTGGAAAATTAATGCAGTAAGGCATTCTGCCAGAGGCTCTGACTGTTTAATACAACAAACCCTTCAGCTCCTCCCTTTGTCACACCCCAAGGTCCATTCCTATTAGTGACCCTCTGTCCTCTTAAGGTAAATGTCCATCAATTACTTTCCATATAGTGACCTCCACCATCAGCTTTTCAGTTTCTCCATGTCTGCTGGGGAAAGGCATGTATCCTCTGTGCCATGTTTTAGTATATTGCTAGCCCTTTAAGCCAGGTTAATTAATCACATTTTCTGGAATACAAATGGTTTAAGAAAGTACTCTTTTTTTAAAAAAAAAATAAAGTTTTTTTAGAGTAGTTTTATGTTTATAAGAAACTGGTGCCAAAGTACAGACAGTTCCCTTATATCTTCCCTCCCACCTCCCCTCCATCCATGCTGTCTCTCCTTGTCCTCCTGTGGTACATCTTTAACAACTGACACATTGTTAAAATCTAAGACCATAGTTTACTTTAGGACTTACCCTTTGTGTTGTAAAGTTCTAAGTTTTGACAAATGCATGATGCCATGAATCCACTGGTGGCGTCCCTAGGAGGGTGTGGGTGGGAGGGGTGGACCACACTGGGTGACAGTGTCAGAGGGAGGAAACACCAAAATGACAGTCTATAAAATTTTTGTGCAATGTTTCACCAGTGTTGGGATTTTTTTAAAAAAATTAAAATATCCCTGTAGTTAGTTACAACAACTAAAATACTCTTCTTAAGTTCAGCTTACATTTATCAATATGGCTACAAGGTTAAAACTCTATCCTGATTTAATTTTTGGACCCTCTGATACACTCTGGACACAACTGTATTAATGCTCAATTACAATGAAGCTTCGAATCACATGATTACATCTGCATACCTTATGTGCATGTACAGTTCTTTTCATTGCTGCTGGTGTTTTTATAGGCACTGATTTTATTAAATTTTCTGATGTTTTAACTACAATATTATGATCATTAGTATTTGTGAATCTACACCAATAACTGTTTTGAAAATGAACTCAAAAACCAAACTTATTATCACTGAGTTGATTCTGACTCAATAGTGACCTTTGTATGAGTTTCAGAGGCTATAAAGCCTCATCATTCTCACAAGCAGCAGCTGGTGGGTTTGAAATGTCCTTATGTAATTAGTAGTCCAGTGCTTACCCTACAGTGCCATACCAGGTAGTAATTAAAGGACAAGAAAGAAAAAATCAAGCAGAGTTTCTGTTCTGTCACTACTAATGTTATAACTAATAATGCTGTAATTCAATGTTAGAAAGGATTTATAAAACAATTTTGTTGTTAAGTTTCATGAAATCTAAGAAATCTCACATTTAAGTCATTTGCAATTATATTCATCACATATTATTCTATGATTAAAATTGATGATAAACATCTCTAAGGACTCTGTATGGTGTGGTGTGGGAGGAGGCCCATGGGGTGCGGATGGGATACCATGTGTAACCACGCTGGGTGACACTAACCCTGATGACCACTGGTGTCCACCATTAGTACATTATATACAAAAGTTTGACATTCTACTGGCCTAAAAGCCACTCTTTTTAGGGGAAGAAGAGTGAATTTTTTTTCTCCCTGATATTTTAAAGTAGAAAAAGGAAGAAAAAATGATAAACCAAGTAAAATAATTATTTGTTTGAAACACTGTCCACCAAATATTTTCTGGTTCTTTTCAGAAAGAAAATGTCAATGAACGTGGATGGTAATGTTTGAATGTTGTGTGTTACATACTCCTTACTTAGCCAATCAGCCCTGTGTTCTAAGATCCCCAAGTAACCTCTCTATTCCAGTGAGATTACTAATCTTAATGCTACTCCCTTCCCTGTCACATACACATAAGCAGTCACTGCTACCCTTCATAACTGGTCCACTCTTACTGGTTCAATGCGCAATATATTCCAAAAGTCTGTCTCTGAAAAACCTACTCCAATTATTAAACTGTATATGTTGATGTTGGAGTCCTGGTGTGGCGCTGTGGGTTAATGTGCCAGACTGCAAAGTTGTCTGAACTACAAGGTTGGTGGTTCAAGCTCATCAGCTGCTCCTCGGAAACCCTATAAAGGGTTGCTATGGGTCAGAACTGATTTGGCAGCACTTAACAACAATGTTGATGTTAGAGATGCTATCCAGTTGTGTCCTAATTCATAGTGATCCCGTGTACAATAGGATTGATCCTTGGTGATCCATGGGGTTTTCAACTGCTGGTTTGTGGAGGCAGATGGCTACATCTTTATGCCCAGTTTGTGTTTCTCTAAAAACTCTGCTGAAACCTGCTCACCACCACCAAAAAATGCAAGTCTTATCTAAAAGATGTGGTTCACTAGCCAGGTATCAAACCCAAGTATCTACCATGGAAGTTGTGAAGTCTACCATTGAACTAACACTGCCCTCTAACACTATATGTGTTATTAAGGGCAATCGAGTCAGTTCTGACTCACAGCAACCCAGTACAGGGTTTCTGAGCAGGGACTGGTGAGTTTGCAGTTAACTGTCCAGTGCTTATCCTATAGTACCACACCAGGACCCCAAACAATACATAACAGTCCCATAACAATTAATATGTCATCCTTGTCCCCAAACAAAAAGTTCCTGAATAGTTAAGATGAACAGTTAAGATGTTTGGCTATAAACCTAAAGGTTGGTAGTTCAATTGGGCACTTCTGAGGAAAATCTAGCTTCTTGTTGTTGTGTTGCTGTTAGACACCGTCATATTGCTTCGGGCTCATAGCAAGTCTGTGTACAACAAAACAAAACAGCCTGGTCCTGTGCCAACATTACAATCCTTGCTTTATGAGAGCCCATTGTTATAGTCACTGCTTCAGTAGTCAGTACATCTTTCTCAGGATCCTCCTCTTTCTCGCTGACACTCGACTTTTACCAAATATGATGTTCTACTCCTGGGACTGGTTCCTTCTGATAACGTGTTCCAAATACGTAAGAGAGAGTCTCACCATCCTCACTTCTAGGGAACATTCGGGCTCCCAAGTAGATGTGCTCATTTTTCTGACAGTCCATGTTCATTCCATATTCTTCATTAGCAGCACCATAATTCAAATTCATCAATTTGTCGTTGGTCTTCCTCATTCTTTGTCCAGGTTTGGCATGCATATGAGGTCATTGATAATACCATGGCTTGGAGCAAATGTACCTTAGTCTTCAAACTGACATCTTTGTTTTTTAAAACAAAAAAAAACACTTCAAAGAGCTTTCCTGCATAATATATGCCCAATGCAATATGTCATTTGATTATTTTGACTGCTGTTCCCACGGGCATTGATTTTGGATCCAAGTTAAATAAAATCCTTAACACCTTTAATCTTTACTCATTTATCATGACACTGTTTACTAGTTGTGAGGATTTTTATTTTCTTTATGTTGAGATGTAATCCATACTGAAGGCTGTAGTTTTTAGTTATCAGTAAGTGTGTTAAGTCCTCTTTACTTTCATGTGCAAGATTGTGTCACCTGCATATCACAGGTTGTTAATGACTCTTCCTTTAATCCTGGATGCCACATTCTTCTTCATATACTCCAGTTTCTCAGACTATTTGCTCAATATACAGATTACATAAGTATGGTAAAAGGGATAGAACTCTCCAATGCACACCTTTCCTGATTTTAAAGCATCCTTTGTTCTGTTAGAAAAACTGACTTGCGATTTATGTACAAATTCTACATTAGTACAATTAAGTATTCTGGAATTTTTTTTGCAATGTTACGCATAATTTGGCCAAAGATGGCCAAACTTCGTCTCTCATACTTTGGACATATTGTCAGGAGGGACCAGTCACTAGAGAAGGATATTGTGTTTGGTAAAGTGGAGGGTCAGAGAAAAAGAGGAAGATCCCCAATGAGATGGATTGGCCAAGTGGCAGCATCAATGGACTCAAGCGTGGCAACAGTAATGAGGTTGGCCCAGGATTATCAGGTAGTGTTTCATTCGGCTGTGCATAAGGTCACTATGGGTCAG